AACTTGGCCTTGAAGGGCAAGATCAGTCCCAGAAACCTCCTGCTTGGCAAGGAACCATGTTGTTACTCGTTGTTATTATCTTTGGGGTTTTTCTTTGGGGTTTTTTTTGGTTGTTTTTTTTTTTTTTTTTTATAACGATGCAATTAGATGAGGAGTGGCATCCAGCGTGGTCCAATCCCTTGGCAAACATGCTTCTCCCCCGGCTCACACCACACATATCTGCCCTGCCCATACAGCAGGCGACAGGCACTGCCAGCCAAGAGGAAATAACTCCAGCAAATGGCAGTCATTGTATGCTGTGTGTTTATAATCCAAGATTTGCAGTTTAAGAGATGATGACAAAATTGTAAGATTTACAGTTCAAGTACGTCAGCTTTTAGGGCCTTTTTTAAGCACAGAAAAAGACAAAGCTTTTGTCTCAGCTGAAGCAACGCTGAACCTTACAGATGGTGGAAATGGGCCTGCACAGCTCCAGAGGCAGAGCCCGCCTCCTGAAAACACCGAGATGCATGAGCTGCTCTCAAAATGCGCTTTGCTCCAGGGAAAAAGTGTCCCAGGCATCGAACAGGGCAGTGCTCACTCACCTCCGTGCACGAAACCCAGCAGCGTGCAGTCCGACGGTCCCACCAGGTGAATCAGGCTGGACTGGCTGTAGCCCACGGTGTGCGGCTCTGGTTAGGGAAAGGGAGCAAAGCGGAGGTCAGAGCTGCTCGGCCACCACCCGTACACCACCACAGACCCCTGTCTTAAACCTCCTGAAGGGAGAAAACGTGGGGCTGGCTTATGCAAAGCTGAGGAACATTCAAACCACTGTTTAAATCAGCCCTGAGAAGTCCTGAGAGCTATTCACCTGACAGGCTGCCACCCCTAATGCTCACCAATCAATTTTATTCCAGCTCAGCTCATTTCTCCTTTTGAAGCTTTCAAAGAGCCCACAAGCAAATGGAAGTGAACTGGACAGACACGTGGCTGTATGCTTTCCTCCCTCGGGCCACCAGCTGCAGCCAAATCTCCCTGAACCTGCCACCTAACACTGTCTCCAAAGAGCCACGCTTTGCCCTTGGCGTGGAGACCTCAGCCCCCCACGCTCCCCAGCCCTGGCACATGCTGGTGACATCTGACTTGCCACTAAACCCAGGGGACAGAAGTGGCACCCTCCGACTGCTGGAAGAGTAAAACTGCTCTCAGGGGTTTTCTGTTTTCTGTCTAGTGAGAGATGCTAAAGGCGCTTAGCGCAGGAAAAAACAGCAGAGGCATCACCTCCTTGGGGACGACACCCACGTGGCCGTGCCTGCGGAGCCTTACCTTTTGTCTGCCTATCTGTGAGCATGGAGAACAGAGTGGGGAAAAAAGCAGTTGAGCAACTTTCATCTCATGTCACCCTCCCGACAATCCCCGCATGCTGTCTCTCTGCCTCTGCCTGAGGACCACAGCTGGTCCTGGAGGCCAACAGCCCCTCGCCCCTCCGCCATCAGCACTGTCACCATGTTTCCAGAAGTCGAGGCAGCACTTTTGGTGCTCCAGGGATCCCTTGGGCAGAGCGTGGCCCCCAGCTCCTCCCTGTAGCTCATCCTCCCCCTCAAACACCCTGGCCGATGAACTTCTTGCTGAAAACCAGCTTTCAGAGTGGGGGTGCAGCTGCAGAGTGTGCAAAGCCCTCACTCAACATTTGAGTTTACCCAGTGCTGAGCAAAACGAGCTCCTGCTGCCCCGGAGCGCACAAGGGATGCAAGGAGTGGTGGCAGGAACTGTGTTTCAGATGAGGGCATCCCACCCACCAGCCGCAGCGGGGGATCACAGGTGCCCACCCAGCTCCCCCTCCACGGCTCCAAAATCCCATCCCATCCCCGATGCGGTGTTGCGGAGCACGTCCTCGCAGCCACAGATGCCCGGGGATGGCCGGAGTTGCCTCAGGGACCAATTCAGCCTCCCAGCAGCACTGGGACATTTCCGCGGGCCGCACACCGCCTGCCTTACCTGGGTTGATGATGGGGAAGATCACGTCACCGTTTCTCTGCTTAGTTTCCAGCCGATCCAGTTTTTGCTCCTCATAACGCTTCTTCCCCTCATCCTCCTGCTCCTTTCTCACATACTGTAAGGAAAGGCCGGTATGAACAGGGTCAGCAAAGCCACCGGCACAGCCGGGGGTACAGACGGGGCCAGGTTAGCACCATGCCGCCGGAGAGGGCGAGTCTGTTTTTTGAGGAGCAAAGCAAGCCATCCTACCTGGATGGGGGGAACCTCAAGGACCTTGTTCACGTTCTTCAGGGAGAGCGGCACGTACCACAGCGTTGCCTTGTTCGTCACCTTCTTCGCCCCTGGAGGAGAGGCGGGCAGAGGGTGACCATGCCGATGCCACCAGCGCTGCTGCGGTCCGGGACTGGCCGCACACTGGCGATGCCGCCGGCACCGGGCAGCCCCCTGCCCTGCCGGCTCCTGGCAGGATTTGGTTCAGAGCGGATGTGACAGTGCGCTTTTGGGAAGGCGTCCCGGCAAGCAGAGCTGGTTGCCACAGCAACAGCAGGAAAAGGGCCTTTTTCAGGCCAAAGGCAGCCACAGGCAGCAAATTAGGCAGGAGGCGCTAACAGCAGATTTTTCGGTTCTTTGATAAAAACGATCAATGGAGCCGTGATCCCCAGGGAGCCTGCCTGGCTTCCCTTCCCAGCACCACCCCTCCCCGCCGCCCCCAGCACTCTCGATTAAAAGGCAAGACCTCTCTTCTGCCCGATGCGGTGGGCAGAGGACGGAGTCACCGCTGTGAGCTTGCGGCTTATCATCGTTATTCCTGGAGTTTTGGGGCAGAGCCGCCGGAAGTCACCCACCTGTTAAAATGTTTTCAGACATGACGTTGACCTGGACCTCCACGGAGTGCCGGGAGGTGTAGGTGATCTCGGCGCTGACGTTGGCCACCTCACCAATGCACATTGGGGAGAGGAAGTCTGTCCGCTCCACCCGCGCCAGTGCGGCCACGCAGGGTTCCTGGGGATGGTGGGACGGTGAGGGTAGTGGCCACGGCCACACCATGCCGGACCGCAGACGGCGGCTACCTGGGGCCAGCCCACGCCACGCACAGCTCGGGCACTTCGACCTCTTGCCTTATCATCCCGTAGCTGTGCTTCCTTCCTTCACCAAGGGGATAACCGGGGTGGCCCCGAGGGTTTCCCAGCAGTCCCAGAGGACCCCCCCGCTCCCAGCAGCCCCCCAAGGTGCGGTGGGGAGGGTTGGAGTCACCGAGCCAGAGCCCCGCGGGCACTCCGGTGCCTACTCACCCCAGCCTGGGAGTTGCAGTGGCGAGTGCTGATGATGGCTCCCGCCTCCTCGATCATCTTCAGGATGGTTCCCCCATGGACGTTGCCCGCGATGTTGGCATCGTCCGGGCGCATGATCCTGCGAGGGGGGGTGAGGGAGAGGCGGGAGCTCGCACCCCTCTGCCGTGCACGCGGCCGGGGTGCCACGGCCCTGCAGGATGAGCTGCCGGGACACCGCAGCACGCTGATAGCGGCACCGGCACCGTGTGGCTTCCTGCGAGCGGCAGTGGAAGCCGCCCTAAATTACCGCCGAGAGAGGAAGGAGGTATCGCTCTACTGGGCTGGGGCCGCATCCTGGCATCCCACTGCGGCAAAACGAGACCGAGCCGGGCGCCGCTCGGCCCGGTAGCACCGGCGACTTTCCCCGGAGCAGCAAAGAACTGACCGGAGGAGGGAAGGCGAGGCCGGGGCCGTGCCCGGGAGCCGCAGCGGGCGGAGGCAGGAGAGCCGGGGCGCGCCCCACCCGCCCACACGCACCGGAGCCCGGGCGCTGCTTGCTGCGCCCGGTGCAGGCAGTGGTGCCGGTGCCGGCCGCGGTACATCTCGCACAGCCGGTAGCGCCCCGGTTGCCGGCCGGCCGCAGACCCCCCAGCCCGCCCCTGGGTGCCCAGCCGCGGGCGGCGCGGCGGGGCCGTACCTGGAGACCTGGATGGCGGCCGGCCCCGGGCCCGCGGACCCCCGTTCCGACATGGCGGCACCGGCGCCCCGCCCGCAACGGCGCTGCGGCACCACCGCGCCCGGCCACGCCCCGCCCCGGGGGACAACCACCCCCCCCCGCACCGCCCCGTTGGGCGGGCAGCGCCTCGCCACGCCCCCCGAGCCGGCCGGGGGGGCGGGGCCAGCGCTCGGAGGGTTGGCGCCGCGCGGGGGGGAAGGGGGCGGGGCTCCGGTGCAGGGGGCGGGGCTCCGATGAAGAGGGCGGGGCTCCAGTGACGCTCGGGGAGCCCCTCCGGTACAGGGTCCCTCCGCCTCCCCTCGCCCAGCGAGGCAGCGGGGATGGGCGGCTGCCCAGCACCGGCGGGGGTCGGGATGGGGACAGGGCCCGACGGGGCGGACTGGCGGGGGTGGAGCGGGGCGGTCCGGGGCCGGGATTGCGGCCCGGTGCTCGAGGGGGACATGGCGCTCGGGAGCTCCGGTACCGCCACCGCCGTTGCGGCGAGCGGGCAGAGCACCGGGCAGGGCGGCCGCTGTCCGCCGTGCTGAAGCCGCCGCCGCCGCTGTCCTCGGTGCTGACGGCGGGGCTGTCCCGCCCGCGCTGCCCGTGACCGCGGCAACCGCCGGCGCTGCCCACGGGTCCCGCCGCCGGTTCCCGCGGTGCCGGTCCCCCGCCTCCAAAACCCGTCCCGGCCCTCCCGCGGCGGGAGGAGCCAGGGCTGCCCGCCCAGCACCGCCCCGCTCCTGCCCGCGCTGCCGGCACCGGCAGGCGCACGTCGGGGGCTGCCGGAGGAGCCCCTCGCCGCGGCGGGCGGGGGAAGGGGGCACCCGTGGGGCTGGCGGGGCGGCAGCTCCCCAGGGCCGCGCTTGGGGTCCCGCGGGCCGGTCCCGGCAGAGCCCGGCAGGGGCCCGGGCAGCGGGCGGCCGTCGGGCGGGGCGGGCGGAGGGGCGGCCCCGGGGGAGGAGGAGGAGGAGCCGTCGGGGCCGGGGGGCGGCGAGGCGGGAGCGCCGCGCAGTGCCAAGCGGCGGCCGGTGCCGCCGGGGCCGGCGGGGCCGGGGCCGGGGCGGGGGCCGGGATGGCGCTGGAGCGGGCGCTGCTGGCGGCGCGGCAGGGAGACGTGGAAGCGCTGCGGGGGCTGCGGGCGGCCGGGCTGCTGCGGCCGGGGCTGCGGGACGCCCTGGGTGCCTCCCCCGCGCACCACGCCGCCCGCGCCGGCCGCCTCGCCTGCCTCCGGTACCTGGTGGCCGAGACCGCGCTCCGCGGGGACGCGCGGGCGCGCAACGGGGCCACACCGGCCCACGACGCCGCCGCCACCGGCAACCTGGCCTGTCTCCAGTGGCTGCTCACGCAGGGGGGCTGCGGCGTGCAGGTGCGAGCGGGGGGGCGCGGGGGCGAGGGGGAGGAGGGGGGCGCGGCGGGGCCCCCCGTGGGCGCGGGCAACCGGGGAGGCTCTCCCTGGCCCCGCCTGGGTGGCCGTGGCTGCAGGGAGATGGTCGCGCGTGGACCCTTCCAGCTCCGCTGCTGGCGAGGCGGGGTCCCCGGCAGGACACCCCAGGCTGGGGGGACCCCGGCGACCCGAGGGGGGGGGGATGCATACCCTCCGGGGCCGTGCCTGGGGCTGCGGGCCCCTCCCGGGCTTACACAACGGCGGGACCGGGGCAGTAAGCGGCTTGCCCCGGGGCCGGCCGAGAGCTAACGACATGTGACGGCCGGAGGAAGAGGAGGAGGAGGCGGCGGAGGGGCTGGGAGCGGGGATTAAGCGGGAAGGACGGGATCAGCACTCTCCAGCAGCCTCCGGGCCAGGGGCCGGCAGCCCGAGGGGGCCTTTGGGCAGCGCTCACTGTGCGTGGATGCAGGCCCGGCCGGTGGGCAGACATGCTTGTCCCATGGCCCGTCCCCTCCCTCTGGCCCTGCTCCACACAGCCGGGACTTCCACACTGGCCAGCCCCCCTCCCCGGGGCCAGCTCCCAGCCCCCCACGGCCTCCAGCCCCACACAAGTTCCCTTGCCAGAGGGGCTCAGGGTCCCCAGTGCCGACGGCCACCCCACTTCCTCCCACAGGACACAGACAACTCCGGTGCCACCATCCTACACCTGGCAGCCCGCTTCGGTCACTACGAGGTGATCGACTGGCTCCTCCGCTTCGGAGGCAGCGACCCCACGGCAGCCACTAACACGGGAGCGCTGCCCGTCCACTACGCTGCGGCCAAAGGGGATTTCCCTTCCCTGCGCCTCCTCTTGGGACACTGCCCCAGGTAACAGCCCCGGCTGCCGGCGGGCGAGATGGGCTCCGTGCTGGGGGCTCGCCACCCACCGCAGGAGAGGGGCTGGCGGGGAAGCGGGGTGCCCGCTGCCGCTCCATCACCTCCCTCCAGCCAGCGCTGGGGACAGATGCCGCAGCCGCCCTCATCCCCCAGCTCCAAGGGCAACGCGGCCGTGTTATCAGGCCGGGCAGCCATCTGCAGCTTCTTTATGGCCCGGAGAGAAAGGGCGAGGAGGAGAGCGGCGAGCGCTGGCAGAAATATTGCCGTCGGGTCGGTTCGCTGGGCTCCTGGCGCGGGGCGATAACACAGCCGCCTTTGTCCGGCCGCCGTTATGTAAATGGATTAGGCTGCCGGCTGAGGAGAGGCCGCTCCCCACGCCGGAGGTGACCTTTCCACCCTGCCTGGGCTGCAGCCATCGCGGGATGTGGCAGCCCCGCTCGGCCGGCAGCTCAGCGGCAGCATCCCTGCTTCACCTCCCTGGGCCGGTGCCCCGCGGCACAGGGCAGCCCGCCAGGCTCACGGCGCCAAGCCTCGCCACAGGGCTGCGGGGGGCGATGAGGTGGCCCCTGATCTGTTTTCCTGCGGTGAGCAGCACCCGCTGGAAATAACCCACAGCCCCGGCTGCCGTGGGGATGTGCTGTCACCCCTCGCCGTGCCCGGCGGGCTCAAGGGCCACGGCTGCAATGGGGTGCGCAGCTCCGCTGTATCCCGAGGCAACGGGAGGTGACCCGGAGCTCAGCACCCCTCTGTCCCCAGGTGCCACAGCCCCAGACCCCCCCAGCCTTCCCGCCAGGTGGGGCCGCAGAGCCCACAGGAGGGTCCCCGTACCCCTGTGGCACTCACTGCCCGCAGCCTCCCCAGCCCCAGCCCCGGCTCTTTATCCCCTGCCCCAGGTTTGCCGGCTCAGCCCTGGGCACCTGTGGGGATTAACCCCCCGTGGCCCGTAGCCCAGCTCGGTGCCTGTGGTGTCGGCCCTGGTGCGGTGCTGGCGGCAGCCCTCCCGCGTTGGCTTTCACGCTTCTTGCCGGGGTTGCTCTGCTGCCGTCGCCGCCTTCCTCCTGAATAATTTAGGGCTGGCCCCGCTCCCAGCCCCGCGCCCGCCCGGAGGCTCCGTTACAGCTACGAAATCCAATCCCTGGGTGCCACCACGGGATGCTGGCGCTCCCAGCCCACCTTCACGCCGGCCCCGCGGGGTCCCTGGCAGCCGGCAGCCCGGCATGGGGTCTTGGCCATCTGGCAAAGCAGTTTACCGGTGCTCACTCAAGTGGCTTAACGCTTTCCCCATTAATGGGAAATGACAATCAGGGGTTGAATGCGTGCCCGTGCCCCTGCTGTCCCCCCGTGCCCCGGCTCAGCGGTGTGCCGGCCTGGCACCGCAGCACCGCGGGCAGGCACCCTGCGGCACGGCACAGCGGGAAGGCAGCGCTGGCCACGGCCCGTCTCACGGTTACAGGGATCAATTATTAAGGGCCCACGATCATTGCGATAACAGAGCAGAGTATTTATTGCTCTTCCTTTTTTAAATATTCAACAGGGTTGGTTTGGTTTTTTTTTTTTATGGAGCACTTAATAAAACAGCTTCCTGTGTGGCGGGGATGTGGGATGCGGGGCTATGGGATTTGGGATGCGGGCTGTGTGATTTGGGACGCACAGTTCAGGATGAGGGACGTGGAGGTGCCAAGGCCCGCGGGGGCAGTGGGGGGACCCCCGTGCCCAGGAGTGGGGCTGGCGGGGGGCTGTGGGGCCAGCCCTGGTGCAGGTTGGCCTTTCCCTGCCGGCTCCTCCACGGCCAGCGCTGCCTAAGCTGCTTACGTACAAATACTGCTAAATTGCAGTGTCCAAAAACAGCCGGAGGAAGGAGCTTAGCCTAAGCCGGCTGATTAACTTAGTGACCTCCCGTCGCAGCACGGGGACCCAGCGTGGAGCTGTGGGGTGGACGGCTCCTGGCCCACGCTGCCCACGCTGCCCACTCTGCCCACGCTGCCCACACTGCCCGCTCCCAGCACTGCCCTGCCTGCCCCCAGCCACCATGTCCCCTGTGCCCCGGGTGTCCCCTTGTGCCCCCCACATGTCCCCGCTCCCTGCAACCCACGCGTCCGGGTGCGCTGCCAGCAGCCACGGGTTACGGACACTGGTGCCCCGCTTGCAGCACGCTGAGTGCCCAGACCAAGACGGGGGCCACCCCGCTGTACCTCGCCTGCCAGGAGGGCCACCTGGAGATCATCCAGTACCTGGTGCAGGACTGCGGGGCCGACCCCCACGCGTGCGCCCACGACGGCATGACCCCGCTGCATGCCGCCGCCCAGATGGGCCACAACACCATCATCGTCTGGCTGGTAAGCGCTGGCCGGGCCACGGCGGTGTGGCGGCAACGGCGCGGAGGGGGGGTCACCGCGCCCAGCGCTCAGCCCGCCCGCCCGCGCAGATGAGTTTCACGACGGTGAGCCTGTCGGAGCGGGACACCGAAGGCGCCACGGCCATGCACTTTGCCGCCAGCCGTGGCCACGCCAAAGTGCTGAGCTGGCTGCTGCTGCACGGCGGGGAGATCACTGCCGACAGCTGGGGCGGCACGCCGCTGCACGACGCTGCCGAGAACGGCGAGCTGGAGGTGGGTGCCGGCGGGGTGCTGGGGTGGGGAGCGGGGTGGGGATGGGGGGGGGGCGGGGTGCCCTCCGGCCCTGCCACACGGCCCCCCCGCCCCCCCTGCTCTCCCCAGTGCTGCCAGATCCTGGTGGTGAACGGCGCCGACCTCAGCATCCGCGACCAGGACGGCTACACCGCGGCCGAACTCGCCGAGTACAACGGGCACGGCCACTGCGCCCAGTACCTGCGCACCGTGGAGAACATGGTAGGGCGGCGTCCCGTGGCTGAGCGTGAGGGGAGCACGCGGGGCTCTGCTGCACCGACCTGACCGCGCGGCTGTGCCGGCAGAGCGTGGAGCACCGCGTGCTGTCGCGAGACCCCTCGGCGGACGGGGAGTGCCGGCAGCCCGACTCGGGCATGTCATCGCCCAACACCACGGCATCGGTGCCCCAGGCACGCTTTGAGGTGGGCTCCCCTGCCAGCACCCTCTCCAACTACGACTCCTGCCACTCCAGCCAGTCCAGCACCGGGGAGAAGAGGGGCGGCCCCCTCGGGGCCCCCACCGCCCGTGAGTGCGGGGCCGGGGGGGGCGTGGGGCCGGGGGGGGGTGTGGGGCCAGCCCCCCCCTGACCTCCTGCCCTGCGCAGGGGTGCCCGAGCCGGCGCTGGCGGACATGCAGGCGTACATGGACATGCTGGACCCTGAGACGCGGCCGCGGGGCCGGGGGCTGGTGCGTGAGGGCCCCTCCCCACCGCCGCCCCCCACCTTCCCCCCGCCGCCACCCCCGCCCCCTGACACCCAGCCGCCCCCGCCACCCCCCGACTACCCCGCGCCCCCCGCGCCCCCTGCAGCCCCCCACACCGCCGACATCTATGTGCGGGCCAAGAACAACCTGCGGCATGTGGAGAGCCTGGCGCTGCGCCGAGAGGTACGGCCCCGTGCGCCACGTCCCATGCACGGCTGCTCCCGGCCACGCAGCTCGGGGGACGTGCCACCCCGGGGTGGGGGACATGCCGCCAGGCACCAACCTCCCCCGTGGGGAGCTGCTAGCTCTCGACGGCACTGGGAGGGGACAACCCCGGCTTGAGGCCACGCGCCCGAGACACCGGGAGGGCCGGGGTGCAACCAGCGGCGAGGGTGCAGCAAGCCAGGGCCGGTGATGCTCCGGTGCCTCTGCGGCGCCGGCTGCGGCCCCTGGCAGCACCATGCAGGCCATTGCGGGGCCAGCCATCACAGCCATGCCCACGTGGTCCCGGCGATGCCACCGGCACCACGCCGAGCCAGGCGTGGGCGGCTGCGCAGGCTGTAACCTGAGCGGGCGGCTCCGGTGTCGCCCGCGCCGCAGGTGTCGGGTGGCACAGCCGGCGCTGCCAGGAGCTGAGAGGGCTCAGCCGGGCGTGCACAGGTAAGAGGGGTGCAGCCCCCTGGGGGGGGGGGGGCACTGGGACACGGTGGGCTCAGGGCCGTCCCGACCCCCTGCCACATCTCTCACCACCCCACTGGGGACGGGATCCTGGTGCACGGCTATGGCCGGGGCGCTGGCACAGCCCCACGCCGTGGGGGACGGGGGTCTCGGCGGGGCAGCATGCTCCAGGCCCCTGCGGGACTTGGGACCGTGTTGTGCTCGGCCCTGGCTCGTTAGTGCTTACTGGGATAACGAGCAGCCCTGCCTGGTGCTACAGAGCTGGGCTGCCCTGGGGAGGTGCTGGAGCGGTGCGGGTGCCCCACGCAGCGGGGCTGAGCGGCGCAGACACTCGCGCGGGACCGGGGCTGGGGGTGCCGGCTTCGGCTGAGCGCCCGCAGCAGCCAGAGCAGGAAGCGCCGGGCTGGAGCTTGTTGACTTAAGCTGGCGCTGACGGCAGCGACGAGCGCCTGGGCTCACCGTGCAAATGCCACGGGCAGAGGTGGCGCACGGGGAAATGCAAATAGTGGCCCCCCCAACTCCATCTCCCCCCCTCCCCCAGCAAGGGTACCCGGGGCTGTGCTGCTGCAGCACCCCCAAACCCAGGGAACAGGCACAGCCCCCTGCAGCGCTGGCACCCAGCAGCACAACCTGCAAAGCCGCTGCGGTATGTGCTGGGGTGAGCCGAGGCTGTGCTGCCCAAGAGCCCTGTTCAGAGCGGGGTTTGGAACCGGGCCGCAGCCCCGCAGGGGATAAGCTCCCGGTAATCCTCGGGGCCAGGGCTCGGTGCTCCTGTTCTAAAGGGGGGTTATCCTGGGGGAGGCTCCACCAGGCTCCAGGGCACAGGGTCACTGTGCCAGGCGCCAACAGAGCACGCTGCCACGCCGGCATGCAGCCCCCCTGTGCAGCTTCACACTGAGTGGACCCCTGGGGCACGCACTTGCCATCCCCCCAGCCTGGCATCTACCCCACGGCCACTGCCAGCCTGGCCCTGCTGCCCCACGGCTCTGCCCCACAGCCCTGCCCCACGGCCACCCGGGCACGGCTGCGCTGAGCCGCGCTCCCCGTTGCAGCGGGCGTCACGTGAGAGCAGCCCCGAGGGCCTGCGCAGGGCCGATTCCACCAGGCGATCGAGGAATTTCAGCAAGCAGCCGAGCACCGGCGACTACTACAAGCAGCTGGGACACGGCGCGGCCAAGCAGCCCGGCCCGTGGCGAATGGCGCACAGCGAGGAGGTGAGCCCCCCGGCCCCCCGCCACGAGCCTGCCCGCGGCTCAGCGGCACCGGCGACCGACCAGGCGACGCCTGCCCGTGCTCTTCCAGGCATCGCCCATCTCGGCCGACACCATGCGCAATGGGGAGAGCAGGCCCGGTGCCGAGCTGCCGCCTCCGCCACCGCCCCCGCCGCTGCCTGACGCCGCCTGCCCGCTGCCCCCACCGCCACCCCCGCTGGCCGAGACCCCCGCCGGCCCCCGCCGCTCCTCTTCCTCCACAGGAAGTAAGTGGTGGGGCGCCGGGCGGGCGCGGGGAGTGATCCCAAGCACCGTCCCGTTGGCTGCATGGCCACCCCAGCGCGTCTCCTCCTGCGGCACTCCAGCTGCGCGGCTCCTGACGGCCTCTCTGTCCTTCTCTCCTCCGGTGTCGGTGTGGGGGTCCCCACACCCACCCATCCCCGCCTGCTCTCACTGCTGGGCCCTTCTCTTCTCTCTTGTCTCGCGGTGGCTAAATCCTTCCTCTGCCGCGCGCCCTGCGCCGCCTCTCTGCTTCTCCCCCTAGGAGGAAAGGCGCTCAGGCAGATGAAGAGTAAGTATCACGGCCCCCCACTCCTCCCTGCTTGGGGGGTGCCCCGGCGCTGGGGCATGGCCACAGGGTCCAACCTAGCACTGTCCCACGCCGGAGCTTCGGGGCATCGACGGTGGCAGCCGGGGCTGGCACCCGCCTGCCAAACCCTCGCTGCTGCGTCGCCCGGCCGGCGTGCCATGGGGCTGCTGGAGCGGCCAGGCAGGGCTGGGCAGGCAGCTGGGTCCCCGAGCCCCCCGCGGCCCCACCGCCGGCCCCGCGCACAGAGGGGCCTTTGTTTGCGCTCAGCCGGCCGGCGTGACCCCGCCACGTGAGCGCACCGGCCGCTGCTCGGCACCCGCTTTATTAACGCCGGCTCCCGGGGCCGGGGGGGGGTCTCGGCTGGCGCTGGATGGCAGCGGCTGTGCCCCGCTGGGCCCTCAGCACCCACCGCGGGTGCCGGCGGCGGGGAGGGGGCTCTGCCTGGGCACGGCCCCATGGCCCGTTAGGGACCTGCGCATGGCTGGCACGGACGGTGGGTGCTTGCGGGGCCGGTGGCATGGGCGTCCCCGTGGGGCTGGGGGCTGGCAGAGGGGCTGGCTCAGGCCATCGCTGCGTCGCTGCCAGGGACTGGGGGGGCGTGCAGGGGGTCCAGGGCCCCCGGTGAGGCAGCACGGGGCCGTCTGGCTGAGGCAGGGCTGCCGCCAGCCACAGAGTTATCCCTCCACTGACAGGTCACCGCAGCACGGTGGGTAGGTGGCATTCGGGGCTGAGGCTGTGCTGTGGCCCCCGGAGGTGGGTGCTGGGGTGCTGCTCCAGTGGGGTCTCACCCACTATGCTGGGTGTTGGGATACCGGTCCCACAGACCTAGGGAGCCGGGTGCTGAGTGCTGGGGTGCTGCTCTGGAGGGTCCCATGGACCCAGGGAGTTGGGTGCTGCAACGCTGTTCCTGTGGACCCAGTGAGCTGGGTGCCGGGGTGCTGCTCTGACAGGGGTCCCAGGGGATCCCGGGGGTGGGGGGCAACCAGCTGGCCTCCCTGCCACCCCCGGGCCCTGTGAGCCAGCAGAGGGGCGGGGGGGCTACCGGCACCAGAGCGCTTACTGCCTGCCCTGCCTCCTCCCAGGCACCAAGTCCTTCAACATGATGTCCCCCACCGGTGACAACTCAGAGCTGTTGGCCGAGATCAAGGCCGGGAAGAGCCTCAAGCCAACGCCGCAGAGCAAAGGCTTCACCACCATCTTCTCCGGCAGCGGCCAGGCAGGGGCCAACGTAGGTGTCGGCAGCGGGGCGGGGGAACCGGTGGCACGGCGTGGCATGGGGCGGCAGGGTGGGTTCCCATCACCCTCCTCCCTCCTTCCTCCACAGGCAGAGTCGCCGGCATCCTCCCCGTCACCCACAAGGACGCCCACCCCACCGGCCACCCCCGAGGCTGCCGGGCCACCGCGTTGCCTGGCAGGGGGCTCGCCCGAGCCGGTGCTGAATGGGAGCTCACCGGTGCCGGCGGCGGGGGCAGGGGTGGCAGGGGAGGCCGAGGCGCTGGTGCCGAGCCACGACGAGCAGGGCCGGCCCATCCCCGAGTGGAAGAGGCAGGTGATGGTGCGCAAGCTGCAGCTCCGCATGCAGGAGGAAGAGGAGCAGCGGCGCAAGGTAGGGGGGTCCTGCATGCTTCGGCGGCGAGCGCGGCGTGGGCACGGCCCAGCAGCTCAGGACCTGGCGAGACGGAGTGCGTGGCATCGCCCCCGGCTCCCGGCCGCGCCGGGGGACCACCCCCCCCCCTGCACGCAGGGTCGTCACGCCCCGGGGGTGCCGCGCGTGGCGGCAGCGGCGGCACAAGGCGTGCGCGGCACGGCCTCAAGAGCCCCTTTGCCCTCTTTCCCGCCACAGCCCGGGAGCTACTCGCCGCCCCTGTGCCGGTGCAGGCCACCCGCCCGCGGGGGCACGCCGGGACCCGCCGGGCAGCCGATGCGGGAGGAGGACTTGTGGCACCTGGAGAGGCAGCTGGGGAGCCTGCGGGTGATGCACCATGCGCAGCCGGTGCAGCCGGAGGATGAGCTGCCGCTGCTCCCGCCGCTGCCGGCCGCCCCGGCACCCCGGCGCTTTGCCCTCGCCCGCGATGACCCGCTCGCCCGCAGCCGCCAGCCCCCCGCGCTGCCAAGGAGCACGGCCATGCCGCCGGCCACCCTGGGGGGCTGGGAGGGCCCCAGGGCTGGGGGGGCGGAGGGCGGCCCCGGCGCCCACCACGATGCCCAGCGCGAGATCCTGGGCTGCGGTGTCTCCGTCCGCAGCCTCAAGGCCAACTACGAGGGGCCGGGGGGGGCCCCCGCGCCCCTCCCCAGGGTCACCAAGCGCAAGTGGGCGCAGCCCCCCCGCAGCACCCGCCGGCCCGTCCTGGAGGAGGAATATGGGGACGGGGCACTGCGGCGGAGCCGGCCGGCACCGCCGGAGCTGAGCGGCCCACGGGAGCGTGCTGAAGCGCGCAAGGAGCGTGCCGTCGTCTTCTTCCTGGAACACTGGAAGAAGCGGGCGCTGGCGGCGGTGTCCAGGGAGGAGCGGCCACAGCGGCCAGGAAGACGGCGCCCGGCGGCGGGGCGGCTGCTGGCCCGGTGGAGGAGCATCGCCCGCCGGGTGCCGGGGCGGCAGATCCGGCGGCTGAGCCGTGCCACGGTGCTGTACTGGCCCCAGCACTTCCTGCCCTACATCGGCGGCTCGCCCATGCCCCACGACAGCCTCCCACTCGACCTCTTCATGCTGGGCTACTTCCAGCTGCTGGAGATGCCGCTCAGCCCCGAGGAGCGGCGCTTCCGCCACCTCCTCTGCTACGAGATGTTTGACCGCCTGGGCAGCCACAGTTGGCACCACGTCCGACGCTTCCACCGCGCCGCGCTGGAGCGGGTCGAGGCCGGCCACCGCCACTGGCTCGACGGCTTTGAGGATCTCGTGCAGGAGTTTTTTGGGGACGGCACCGCCGCGGTGGCGGAGAGCCCGCCAGAGCCCCCCCCCATGGCCCTGGGAGGGGAGGGGGCAGCAGCACCAGTGCCGGTGCCAGTGCTGGAGCTGGGCGAGTTCAGCGAGGAGGACGTCTGCCGCTTCATCGACCGGAGCTTCTCCTTCTGGAAGGAGAAGGAAGCGGAGATGTCCGACACCTGAGCCCGGCGGGATGCTACGGCTGTGCCAGCAGTGTGGTGCGGGGCTGGCCAGGAGCGGGCACCGGGGGCCGCGAGACCCAGTGCCCGGGGATGCTCAGCCGCCTCTGCGGCTCTGGCAGTGCCGCGGCCTGGCTCAGCGCAGGGCTCAGGGTCGGTTTGCGTGGCCCCGGGCCGAGGTTGCAGTGTGCCGCTTGCCGTGGCTGTGTGTTGTGCGGGGGGGGGGCAGCACCGGGGCTGCGCTCCCCTCTGGCGTGGCGTTTGCGGTGCTGGGGCGGCGTGGGCCCCCGCGTGTCAGTGCAATAAAGCTGTGGTGTGCTGCGAAGGGCTGGCCACGCTGCGCGCTCCTTCCTCCTCCCCGCGCCGGCAGAAGGCGGGCGGTGAGGGGCGGCGATGGCGAGGTGCCGGGGCGATGCCGCTGCCCCGTGGCGCCGGCGGTGTGGGTGGGCTCCCGGCGGTGCCAGTAACGTGGCTGTCTGTTGCAGGAGAAGGAGGAGGAGGCGCGCCTGGCCAGCATGCCGGCCTGGAGGAGAGACATCCTGCGCAAGAAGCTGGAGGAGGAGAGGTGAGCCCGGGCCGGGGGAGGCTGCGCCGGCGGCCGCCCCGACGGCTCTGCTAACCCCGCTCTTCCCTTTGCCTTCACAGGGAGCAGAAACGGTGAGTGCCGCAAGCCCCTTCCCTGGGCGGGCGGGCGGGCACGGTGGCTCCGTTGACCGCGGTGCCCCGTGCCCTCCACTGCTGAGCAGGAAAGAGCAGGAGAGGCTGAAGCGGGAGGAGGAGGAGAAGGAGAAGGAGCAGTCGGAAAAGCTAAGGACTCTTGGGTACGATGAGACAAAGCTGGCGCCCTGGCAGAGGCAGATCATCCTCAAGAAGGGGGACATAGCCAAGCACTAGCCACGCCACACCGCGCCCTGGCTCTTCGCGGCGGGAGGAGGCCGGCAGGTCCCGCCACGGGCCGGGACGCACCTCAGCACCCTCCTCCCGCCACGGACGGCCACGTAGCCCGACCCGGAGGAGTCCCCACTGCCGCCCCAGGCACCCGTAGCCCCCGTCCCGCCGCCACCCAGCGCTGCCCTTCGCAGAGCGAGCTGCCGCGGCATGGGGCTCCCGGCTCCCCGCACGCCGCCCGGCTCGACGGCTGAAGCCGGGTTCGCCGCGCCGCCCGGCTCCCCGTGCTCCCCGCCGGCACCGCCCGCCATCACGGCCCCGGCGCGCTCGCCCCCGCTCCTGCCCCTCGGCCTCCGGAGCCGCTCAAGGCCGGCTCCCGGCCGGCCTCGGCCCAGCCTGCCTTTCCCGCAATTAAAACGATAAACCCCGTCAGCAGTGCCCCGCGCCTTCCTGGGGCTGCCCCCGACACCCCCCTGCCCACACCGCGCTGCGCCCGTCACCGTCCCCATCGTCACCTGCGATGGCCACCCCGATGCCAGCGGTGCCTCGGGTGCAGCTGGGCCGGCGCAGCCCTGGGAAGAAGGGCCGGGGACCAGCGGACGGAGAACTCACCATTTTATTGGGGCAGGGGCAGGCGCGCCCGGCAGCGGGCGGCCTCGAGAACTATCCCATGGTTTCGCGGCGGGCCCAGCACCCACTCGTCCCGCGAGCGGCCGGGCAGCCGGCGTGCCAGGGTGCAGGGTCCCCCCGGCCCTGGGTGCAGTGGGACATAAATACAGGGGGTGGGCGGGCAGGTAGGGGACATAAAACTGACATAAAAATGTCTACATGGCATAAGTAACAATACTTAGGGGTATGGCTCAGCCAAGGCACCCGGCGAGCCGGGGAGGTGCCGGGACCTCCATCTGCTGGGGTGGCACTGCCGGGGGGGTCAGGGGCTTGCCGACAAGCTCCGGCGCAGTGCCTCGGCACAGCCGGCCAGCTCCATGCGCTCCAGGGCGGCGAAGACGTGGTCGAGCGTGGCGCTGGTCTGCTGGCACCAGCGTTTCAGCATCTCATACTGCTGGTCACGGATGTGGGCCACCTCCAGCTCCACCAGCTCGATCTCCGCCTCCCGCAGCTCCAGCACCCGCATGAACTCCTTCCAGCGCCGCACCGGCACCGCGTCGATGACGGCATAGAGCTGGCTGCCCTGCAGCAGGGCACCGCGGGGCTCCGGGGGGGCGGAGGGCTCCGCTGCATCACCGGGCTGCTCCGGCAGCAAGGCCCGGCGGTCGGGGCTCTGCCTCACCGTGCCGGTGGTATGCTCTGGCACTTGGGGGGAGTACTGCTGGCTCCAGCACGGGCTGTCCCACCCCCGAGCACTGACCTGGTGCCACGGCGCAGCCACGGCCCCGGCTGCAGGGGTGGCCACCTGTGCCACAGGGAGGGGGCCGCTTGTCAGAGCATCGTGCCGGAGCCGCTTCCTCTTGTGATAGATGGCGAGGGCACCCAGGAAGAGGGGCCCGGTGAGCGCCAGCAGGACGTACTCCAGCCCCGAGCCTGCAAGGAGGAGCAGGAGCATCCCTGTCAGCCGGCCAGTGCCGTCACCCCCGCACCACCGCCCCTGGCCCCACCGCCCCCGCACCTCGGCCACTACCGCCGCCGCACACCCGCTGGCACTCCTTGCTGCACGTCTCCGGGGAGCTCCTGCGAGGAGAGGGGAGCTGTAGGCGCCGTGGGCCCCGGACGTGTCACCGGGGGCAAGGGGGGGTCAGTGCTTACGTGTGGCACGGCCGGCACTCGCCACCCTCGGCATAGAAGTCGGGCTTGCAGCTACCACAGAGCGTGTCCTGCGCCTCCGAGCCTGGGGAGAGGAGCGGCGTCAGGCAGGGTGGCACAGCCGGAGGCGGCATGGCTGGGGGGGATGCGCCGGGGGACAGCCGGCAGCACTCACAGGGCCGCTGGATGAGCCGCCCGGTGCAGGGCTGGCACTGCTGGCAGGAGAAGTCGCTGCAGCGGTCGTCGAGGCAGTCGCGGAAGCGGCCGGGCTCGCAGCCACAGGCGACGTTGCTGGTGGCTGAGCAGTTGCTCAGCACGCTCTGGAAAGCTGCGGAGGACGGGTGGTGAGCAGCACGGCGCTGCGCGGCACAGCACGGTGCTGTGCGGCACGGCATGGCACGGTGCTGGCTCACCGTGGCGGTCGCACTCGTAGCAAGCCTGGCACTCGGGGAAAGTGTTGGGCTGGGCGCGGAAGGTGCCGGCAGGACAGGCGGTGCAGACGCTGTCGTTGCCATGGCTTGAGCAAGGGGCATGCAGGAACGTCCCTGTGGGGACAGGGGGTTGACGGGGAGGGAACGTGGCCACCCAGGGCCACGTGCCTGGTGTGCCGGGGCCTGCCGCACCGGGCGGGTGGCTCTCACCTGCGGGACACGGGGCACAGCACCGGCGAGCCCCCTCGATCCAGTTCATGCCGGCAGGGCAGAGGGGTCTGGTGATGTGCTTCTGCGGGCGGGTGAGCGGCCGCACCGGGACCCGCTGCCCCCAGGGCACGGCACAGTCCCGGCACCCCGGGGGCTGCGACTCACTCGCCGTCAGCACCAGCGCTGCCAGGATCACCTGCGGGCAGGGAGAGGGCAGGGATGCAGGCAGCCGGGGCGTGCCGGGAGCCGGGCACCCAGCACTGCGCAGACACCGGTGCTGTGCCGGGCAGGATGGGGGGAGCCGCGGCCCCGTGGTCCGGAGCTGCACGGGTGTATGGTCACAGGGCTGGGAATGCCCCACGGCAGCCCCTGCACCGTGCTCTCCCCGCCATACCCGAGCAAGCACCTTCCTGCTGGCACCGTGGGGCCCACCGTGCCCCCCCCCCTCCATGCTCTGCAAACGGAGCCGCCGGGCTGGCTGGGGTGCTCAGCCCCCTGCCCCCGCCACGTCGACAGGGGCTGGTGTTCCTGCCCACGGCACAGCCAGCCTGGGGAGGTGCCAGCAGCCAGGCACGGGAGGGTTAACGCTGCCGGCGTTGACTTTCCTGGGGTTTATCTCCCTCGAAGAGGAGGCAATTTCCTCCCCGAGAGGAAGCCGTGCCGGCTCACGCTCTCCCCGATGCTATCACGCGCCTCGTACGTGTGTCCCAAACTAGGTCACCGCTTCCCCGCCCCGGGGGTGCCGGGCACTGCACCCAGGGGAGCCCCGCTCCCCAGACGGCCCCAGCGGGGGTGGTGAGGGGGTGCCCGCGCCTGCACCCCACGTCCTGGCGAGGGCAGGGGGCCGGGGAGGGCCGCGGTGCCGGCAGCGCGGGCAGGGAGCCAGGGGATTCCTCGCTGGGGGCTGGATTTCCCAGCTGCGATGGCCCCGATTACGGCAGCTGAATCATTTTCTATCAAACCCGCCAGCGGACTGGAAACCGCGCACGGGCCGCCCCGCTCGCAGAGCGCTGCCGGCAAAGCAGGGCGGCTGCCTCGGCCCCGGCTGAGTCACCACCGAGGCACGGCCTTCCCATGGCGGGGCCCTGCCTGCACCGGCAGCGGGTGCCCGGCGGGCAGGGGAGCTGTCAGCACCGGCACTGTCGCACCGCAGCACCAGCAGCCACCGCTTCCCGTGCCACGCAAGCACCACCCCTACCTGGAACACGGCCCCGGCGAGGCCTCCGGTCCCAGTCCCTGTGTGCCGGGGCAGCCGGTGCCCAGCCCCGGCCCATGCCCACGGGTTGCCAGCACAGCCATTCCCCGCGGCAGGGCCGTGCCCGCGGCCCCGTGGCTGACCCCACGCAGCCGCGTCATGGCTGTGCCATGCCCGCAGTCTCCGTGGCTGTGCCACACGCTGCAGGCGCTTCGGCGAGGTGGACCCCGCTCGCAGGCATTCGGCTGGGAGGGGGGAGCTTCCAGCACGCTCGGCACTGGGTTATCCCCCCCCTCCCCTCCCCCTGGCCCCCCGGGGTACCCCAAGACCGGTGCCAAGGGTCCGTGCGACCCCGGCATCGCCGCACTCACCCAAGCCACACCCGGGCAGCAGCGCTTCATCCTTGTGGCCGATGAGGCTGGGTCATGCCGGGGCAGCGGGGGGACCGGGGCGGTGGGCACAGCGGGGTGTCAGGGCGGCTCAGCGCCCAGGCAGGGTGCCCCGGCACCCCATTGCCGCCGCCAGCAGCACGCAACGCGTGGTGAGTGAGTGCCAGCCCTCCCCACACAGGCTTTTACACCCAACAGCAGCAGGAGGAAATGCTTTTTTGGAAATCAGTCCAGGGGGTGCGAAACCACATGACGGGAGCGCCGGGCGCGGGAGGGACCTGCGCCGCCTCGCTGCCGCCCTCTCTTCCCCGCTGCCACCAACCCACCATGGCTGGGGGGATGCAGGGGGCGTGGGGAGCAGCGCTGACCCCCTCCCCAGGGCTCCGTCCCCATCCCGAGGCCCCAGACTCCTCTCCCCCCCGGGGGGTCCCTCAGCTGTGCCCAGTGCTGCTGCTGCAGCCAAAGGAGAGGCGAGGCGGGTGTCAGCGGGCACCGGTGGGGTTTATTGCCCGGCCCGGGGTGGCAGCCGGCACCCCGGCCACCACCACGTCCCCCCGCGGCTTCCACCCTCCGGCCCCGGGCGCTGCCGCCCATCCCACCCCGCAGGGCCAACCCTGGCCCGGGCAGACCCCGGGGCCACCGCCCACCCCATCCCAGCACCGTCCCCTCCTGCCACCAGCCCTGGCCTCCTCGCCCCGCAGCACCATGTCCCTCTCGGCACCTTCCCCACTCACCATCGCCAACGTCGTCGTCCCTTCCTTGCCCCCGGGAGCCGCCCCACAGCCCCCCGCACCCCCCTGCCCGATGCACCCCGGGGTGGCTGAGCCCTGACCCACAACCCCCATCTCTGCAGATGAGGGTTTTGGCACGAGCCACGTGCCGTGTCTGTCCCCGCTCTGGGGAGAAGCATGCAGCCCCACGCCGCCACGCCTGCAGCACGTCCTTGCTGAGGGGACTGGTCTGCATCCCCGTGTCCCCACCAGCATGGCATCCCAGCGCCCGCTCTGCCGGGCCCCGGCGTTTCGCTACAGTTAGAAGCAGGAGCAGCTCCTTGGCGTGGCCGTGCGTCCATCCTCACCGTGCCGGTGGCTCTCAGACCTCCCTGCAAGGCACGGAGCAGAGAGATGCTGTCAGTGCTGGGACTCGGCTCCTGGCAAGCGTCGGGGAAGGCTGGAGCATCCTCAGGGAGCGTGCAGGTGGGAGCGTGCTTACGAGGCTGTCAGCGTGGAGTTGAGCAGCAGAGTGGTCCGGATCCGGTAGAGCTGCGCCAGCGTCAGCTTGCGGTGCTGTGCCGACTGCGGGTCCGAGAGGGTCCGGCGGGCAGCGGGCGGGGGGTCACGACAGAGCTCCCCTGGGAGGGATGCCGGGCTCTCTGCCGGCTTCTCCGGCTCCGAGAGCTCTGACGTGGAGCTGCCGCTGCTACCAGGGGCAGGCGGGGGGCCAGGGGCTGGGCTAGTCCGGGGGGGGCCAGCGCAGAGGTCAGAGAGGCTGCGGCTCTGGCTGAGGGGGGCCAGGGGGCCGGGGGGCAGGAGCTGGGGCAAGCTGGCCTCTGACTTAGACTTGAGCACCCTGGGCGGGCAGGGCAGGAGCTGCACAGGCGTCCGGCGGCGCAGCCGGGGTGAGGGGGGCCGGGGGTTTGGGGGGGGCTCCCTCCCTTCCTCCGCCATCCCCTCCGGCTGCTGGCCAAAGTCCCGCAGGGAAGAGGGAGACAGCGTGCCGTAGGCACTGTCGATGGAGGACGAGCGGCAGCCCCCGGCTGGGGGGGCCGTGCCATGGGGCAGGGGTACAGGCAGGGCGCCCACAGGCAGCTCCCGGGTGGGGGTCTCCGTGGAGGTGGGGGTGTCAGCAGAGGCGCCGGTGCCGATGGAGGAGCCATCCGAAGTTGAGCCGAAGGGCCCCACGTCCCAGTCCGGGGAGGAAAGCTCGTCACCACCATCCGCTGCCACCACGGCGAGGGTCTCGGTAGAGCCATCAGAGGGGCTGTGGGGGCAGCAGGGTGAGGAGGGGTCTGCGCCAGGCTGGGGGTGCACGGGGCCCCCCTCCCGCTCCCTACCACCGCTGCGAGTCCGGGCTGGCGCTGCTGCGGCGCAGGACGGTGGGCGAACTGGCGGCCGAGGCGCTGCTCTCGCCATCCTTCTCCTCCTCCTCCTCCTCCTCTTCCTCCTCCTCCTCCAGGTGCCGGCGCTGCCGCAGCTGCTGCAGCAGGTTCTGGGGAGGGGGAGGCATCAGGGAGGCACGGGGTGGCCGCAGGCACCCCGCCTGCCACCCGCGCCCCTCACCTGGGCGTTGCGCACTGCCTCGACCCAGCTGCGGCACAGCGACTGCCCGCTGGCCTGGAAGGTGTAGGCAGCCACGGCGCTCCCCAGCTCGTTCAGGTAGATGAGGAGGAAGGAGCCTGTGGGCAGGGGCTGTCAGCAGCACCTGGGGACCGCCCCCCCCCCCCGCACCCCTCATCGCCCCCAGCACCACTCACCTGGGTCCCTGAGCTCCCGGCAGATGACCTTGTCCACCAGCAACGGCTGCCGGACCACCTTGGTGCGCTCAGCCTTCTTGAGGGGCTTGGTGATGAGGAAGAGGTCGGTGAAGAGGAAGCAGTAGACATCCATCTAGGGGCGAGAGCAGGGCCGTGGGCACTGGCCGGCACAGCGGGTGGGGGCGGGCAGGCAGGGGCTGGGGCTCCCCGTCCCCCGCGGTCCTCACCTTGCTGTCTTTACCTTCCCGCATCCGCAGGCCGCCCTCGAGGAGGAGCTGCCGCGTGTCCTCCGGGGAGGTGCCGGGGATGGGGGCGGTCAGGTCCAGCCGCAGGAACTCCTTCAGCAGCTGCCGGGAGCCCCCGGCGTCAGCACCGGGCACAGCACGGGGTGGCATGGCATGGGGTGGCACGGGGTAGCAAGGCATGGCATGGGGTGGCTTGGCAGGACATGGCATGGGTTGCCTTGCCTTGGTGCGAAATGACACAGAGCGGCATAGCACGGCACGGGGTGGGGTGGCATGACACGGCATGAGGTAGCGCGGCACAGGATGGCACTGAGGGGCACGACACAGCTCGGGGCGGCAAGACACGCCGGGGCATGGCATGGCAGCTCCACCACGCCCAGCCTACCTTGTCCACCTCATCCGTGCTGCCCTCCACCACCTCATAGGCGTCGATGCGGCTGAGGATGGCAGCCAGGCGTTGCCTCTCCTGCCGCTGCCGCATCCGCGAGTTGACGTCGTTGATGAAGCACTCCACGGAGCCAATCTGCGGCCGGGGCGGTGGCAGGTTCAAGGGGCTATGGGGGGGACACACCACCCCACGCTGTGCCCTGCTTCCCCAAGCCCCCAGCCCCTTACCATGGCAGTGACAGCGTCACGGGCACGCGGGTCGTCGGTCTTCTTCAGCACGGACTTGAGGAGCAGGGGGTACTTGGTGAGGCGCTGGTGGGGCTTCACCAGCATGTCGCTCAGCTTCAGGCGGCTGCACTGCTCGTGCTTCTCGGCCCACTGTGGCAAGCAGGCATCAGCCCCAGCACCGGCACCGGCCCCGGCCCGAGCCCCGGCCCTGGCCCACTCCCCTTACCGTCACGTAGGCACGGAAGAGCTCGCTGTCCCGCAGCAGCGCCCGCATGTACTCCATGCAACCCTCCTCCTCCATGCAGTACCTCACGTAGGGCTTGAAGAGGGAGCCAAACTGGGGGGGTGCAGGGGTGCGGTGTCACTGCATGGTGCGGCACAGCCCCCTGCCACGGTGTGGGGGTCCCCACTCACCATCTTAAAGCTGTCGAGGAAGTCGATGGGGTCGAGCAGTGCCCCGGTCTGGCGCGCCTTGGCCAGCACCGGGGCCATGACGCCGCGCCACAGCTCGTGGTGCAGCCGGATGATCTCCCCGATGTTGCCAAAGAGCCGCTCGGCGTCCACCTGCGAGGATGAGGCAGGCAGCTGTGCGGGGACCAGCACCCTCGCCCTGCCGCCGTGGCCAGACTGAGGTCCTGCCCCGGAGCTGGGGGGTCCCCGTCCCCCCGCAGCCCCCCCTGCCGCTCACCTCGCAGAGCAGCCCCGACTCCTGCAGGTTCAGCAGGCAGCAGAGGAAGAGCTGCAGGGACAGAGCGGGGACGTGGTGGGGTGCAGCCACAGCCCCCGGCCCCCTGCCGTGGCACGGCGCGGCTGCTGCCGGCACTCACGTCAGTGATGACTTTGAGCTTGCGGATGTAGGTGGCCTCAGTGTGCAGCAGCTCCCAGATGGCTTCCTGCTGGTGGCACTGCCGGCGGGACAGGGCCTGCCGGGCTGAGTGTCAGCGCTGCACCGGTGCTCGGGCACAGCCGCTGCGGCCCCCTGGCCCCCACAGCCCTACCTCCACACCCCGGATGATCTGCTGCCAGCTCTCCTCCAGCACCAAGCCGGCCTCGTCCCCATCCTCCTCCCAGGAGTCGCGGTCGAAGCGGAGCTGGGGCGGCAGCTTGGGCAGCCCAAAGGTGCCGTAGGCGTGCAGCCTGCTTGCCAGCTGCTCCAGCTTCTCCGTCTCCTGGACGAAAGCGTGGGGCAGAGCGGCTGGGACATGCCACAGGCCCCCCTCGCCCTGCCTGCGGAGCTGGGAGGGGCTTGAGCCCAGCGGGACTCACCCCAGCTCCCCGGCATAGCCGCCGGCAGCTCCCGCTCCCCCTCCCCGTGCCCTGTCCCACCTACCCGCCCGAAGGAGCCGGTGCTGGTGCCGGAGCCGAAGAAGCCGCTGAAGCGGCTGGCTGCGCGGTTCTTCCAGGTGTCGGTGCCATTGGCAGGCAGGGACCCGCCACCCTGGGGGGTGGGCTCGGGGCTGGGGGTGCCGGCATCCCCCAGGAACTCCGTCATGTTCTTCCTCCGCCGGCCCAGAGCCTGCAGCGGGGACAACCGGTGCCCCCGGGGTCAGTGCCCAGCCCCGCGTGCCCGTGCCAGGGGAATGGGGACAGCAGCACGGCGCAGCACAATGCTACAATCAGGGATGACGTTGAGCACCCGTGGGACAGACAGACACCCAGATGGTACCCCCGGGCACCGGGGTCCCCCCGGCCACGCTCCCCTGCCCGCACTGACCTGCCTACCTTGCATCCTGGGGCGCGGGGCCCTGGGTGCTGCTTGGCCTCGCTTGGCCAGCCGCAGGCAAGCGGCCCCGGCAGCGCAGGGGCTCAGGGCATTCCGTGGGGCACAGCACCCCAGCCGAGACACCCACCCAGCAGCACTCCCAGCTCGGACGGCGGAGCCGGAGCCAGGCAGGCTGCGGCCGGGCTCCTCCGAAACAAAAGGAGGTGGGGCCAGCATCGAAAACCTAATTTCCCTCCTTGCCAGATAAACTAACCAGAGCCGAACAATTCACCAGCGGAGATCAAAGCCCCCCAGCCGGCCGTGAGAGCTGGGTCACGGCCAAGCGGCTCCTGCTGTCCCGGGCACCGCTGCACTGGCTGCCTCCCCGCACACCCCTGGGCCGTGCCGCAGCCACTGCCACCTCCTCGCCCCAGCACAAAGGGCGGCAGGGCCGGGGCTCCCCACTTGCCACTGAGCCCCAGGATGTGGTACGGTGCCGCCAGCACTGCCGGCATGGCCTCACGCCCTGCCATGTCCCCCATCCCTGTTACTCACCGTGCCGCTGCATCCCCAGGCGCCCGGGCTGCTGCCGGGGTCAGCTCCCTCCTGCCCCCAGGAAGGCAGTTGGGGCCAAGACCCCTGCGGGGGTGGGTGCTGGTTGCCCACTGGGCCCCCCACTGTGCCGGGGATGTGCCAGTCCCGCAGCCAGGCATCATAGTGCTGGATGCGGGCAGCCACCAGCCCCGGCCACGTGGCCAGCTTGCCACCCTTGGGGGCTGCCAGTGTGGGGTCAAGCACCGCGTCCCCCTCACCGGCCCCTGCGGAGCCCCTTCCCGTGAGCGTGGCAGCCTGCTCCCACAGGGAATGGCGGCCAGCCCGGCCCCACGCCTTATCTGAGGCCAGGGTCCACGGGGCAGGACTGAGTTGTGCTCAGCAGCTGCCAGGCGCCACAGTGAGAGGAGGGCCGGGGCCAGGGTGAGCCCCGGGGCTCCTGTTTGACTTTGCTCTGGTGCCAGCCTGTACACAGCACAGCCGTGGGGCCGGTGCCACCGGCCAAGCTGCCATGCCTGGCACAGGGCACCGCCACGAGCCAAACTGTCTCCTGGGTTGTCTTCAGCCCACACCACAGAAGGCCATCCAGGAGACACCGTGTTGTTGCCCCATGAGCCCATCTTCCCAGCGAGGATGGCCATGGGGTATCCTGCACCCCGCCACCTCCTGCTCCCCAGTTCCTCCTCCCCAGGGCTGGCACTGGCACTCACCAGGCTGTCGGCACCTTCCCGGCGTCCCGGCACGGGCTCTGGTGCTGGCCCGAGGACTGCAGCGGTGCTGGCGGGGTGCAGGATGGGCAGGCTGGCTGACCTGGCATCCCGTGCTGCCTGTTCCACCTTCAGCTCGTCCCCGGGCTTGGCTGCGGGAGCATCGGGCAGTCAGAGCCCCACTGGAGCCCCGAGGTGGCCCAGCGTCCCGCCAAGCCCCTGCCGCACCTTTCACCCGCAGGTAGTGCCCCCCGAAGCGGTACGCCTCGAACTGGAGGGAGAGCGGCGTGTGGGACTGGTCCAGGTAGATGTCCACCTTGCCCGGCTCGATCGCCTTCCTCTCGAAGACCGGCAGCAGCACCTCCCTGCAGGGACACGAGCCCCACATCTGTCCCCGTGTCTGTCCCCGCGTCTGTCCCCACATCTGCCCCCAGCAGACTCACCCCAGGGACTTCTTCTTCGCAGCCGGCACGATCTCCGCCTCGATGTCGACGCTGAGGTCGAACTTCAGGGTGAAGCACTCCTTGCTGGGGTCCTGGGGGGAGGTGGCAGCTGCTAACACTGGGGTCCCCCCCCGCCCGCTGCCCCACCGAGCGCCCGGGGCGAGGGGCCGGTGCCTTACGTCGGTGTGCCGGCGCCGAGCCTTCTTCTTGGGCAGCTTCAGCGCCGAGCTCCTCCACTCCCTGCGGGCACAGGGTGGGCACAGTGACGGGGATGCCATGGGCTGGGGACATAGAGGGAACGCGCAGGGCCCGGGGCTCACCCTCTGCTATCCGCCGGTCCTTCCTCCTCCTCCACGTCGGAGGCAGGGCTGGTGCGTGGGGGGCATGAGCGTGTCGACATGTTGCGGGCCAGGATGGAGCCTGCAAATAGGCGTCGAGCTCGGCTGTGCCAGGACCCCCAGCCCCGTGCTGGCTCCAGATTCACCCCACTCCTGTCCCTCCACGGCACCAGCCCCAGGTGCATCCCACCCCCACCCCTGCGCCGCGCCGGCCCCGAGCGCGTCCCGCTGCCGGCCACATCCCGCCCGGCTCACCTTGCGGGGGCAGGTCGAAGCGGATGTGGCCGTCGAAGTGCATGGTGCCATGGAGTCGGCCGTCGCAGAGCTCACACAGGCTGAGGGGGCCGCTGCAGTTCAGCTGCCGGCACTCTGCGTGGTGGCATACCTGCGGGCACACGCATCGGTCGGGCACGGGGTGCCTGGGGGCTGTGGCACACCGGCGGGAGGGATGTGCAGCACCGTGAGCAGCGGGGACCCCCCTTTCCCGCCCCGAACCGCTGCTGGCACACCGCTCACGGGCACCATTGAGGCCAGAGAGGGTGCGGGGAAAGCAGTGTGAGCAGGATACGGCCACGATGTGGTGGTGGGGGGTGTGGTGGTCTGCACTACAGGGACCCCTCCCCGCTTTGTCGCACTGAGCGGGGACCCTGGGAAGGCTGGACGTGCCTTATCATGGAGGGGGAGCCAGGGGACAGCCACCTGCAGCTGTGCCACCCGCACCTCACCGGGTGCTGGGGGGGCCGCCCTCCCGCACCGCAGCCCCTTTGTGCTGGCGCGAGCAGCGTCCCCACGGCAGGACAGAGGAAGTGAGTGTCTGTGGCGAAACAATGCTCAAAGCCGGCGCGTTTCCTCTGATTGTGTGCCGGCCGTGGCCGCGGCCCCAGCCCCGCCAGGCATTCACAGCAGGTTATTTTTAAACCCCCCACCGGGCCCCCAGCGCAGTGCACAGCCCATGACCCCCAAACCCCCCCTCACTGGGGGCTCTGGCTGGCCTGGGGACCACCATCCTGAGCTGTGCTGCACTGCCAGCACATCCCCATCCCCGTGTGGGACGGCCATCGCCACCCTGCACAGGGAAGGGTGTGAGGGGCTGCCAGGGAGGAGCGAGCCCTGCTCGGGCTTGCCTGCCGCGCACCGTGCCGCTGTGGGGAGGAAGCGCCCGTGCAGTTCCAGCCGCCCCCGCTTCCTGCCCTCCTTCCTCCCGGCGCTGCTGAGGTCAGAGCTGACGCGCTCCCGCCACCCGCGCGCTACCCGAGGGGCCACCGGTCCCTCCGCAGCACCCACCGCCACAGCACCCACCAGGGTCCGACCTCAGGGCACGAGGCAGACCCAGCACTGGAGACGTGCCGGCCCTACCCTGGACGCTCCCCCCCAGCCCTCCTCCTCTCTCACCACATGCCCCAGCCCAACACCGTCGTGGCCATCGTGGCACCTGCGTGGCCACAGTCTCCAGACTGACTGTGGCCAGCGCTCGCTCAGTGGGCACCCCCCAGGACCCTCGGCAGCCACCTCACCGGGATGTGGGGCTCCCCCTGTCCCCTGTGCTGGTAGCTCAGACCCAGGCTCGGCGCCGCAGGAGGGGCCCAGCAGGATGCCCAAACTCCTCTGCCCACCCCGAGGACCAGCTCCCAGCCCCACCGCACTCCTGGCACGTGGCAGCTTTGCACTCAGCAGCTGCCCCACGAAGAGAGGGGGGGACGCGATGCAGCTCCCTGCCACGGCAGCACGAGCCCCAGCCTGGCCAGGACCCCCCCACCCCACGCTACCTGCTGGGTGCTGTCTCTGGCAACGGCAGTGGGGTGGCCCCAACTGGGTACCTCCTGTCGGTCCCAGCTGTGCCCTGGGGAAGCCACAACCCAGTGCCACGTGTGCCCCTGCCAGTGCTGGCTCTGCCACCCCAGCCGTGCAAACAAAGCGCAGCGGCACACCTCCCGGCGTGGCCGGGCTGCCGTGCTGCCTGCTGCACCAGAACGACACCCCCCGCGGCCCGGCACGGGAACCCCAGGGACTCACTGGGAGCCGGTGCACGGGGCCAGATCAGGGAAGAGAAGGGATCCTAAATCCGCTCTGGCACCACATTAGTGAGGAGGGGGATGGATGAGCTGGAGCCTGAATCACACCAGCTAGGGGAAACGGGCAAGCTGCCACCGCGCCATGAAATGCCAGCAGGACCGCGACACCACTGGGGAACGCGTGTCCAGCACGGGCTGGGGGGACACGGCTGGTGAGGGCTGTCGGCCACGCCGGGGGGGCTTTAGGGAGCCGCAGGTCAGGCAGAGCTGCCCACTGCCCCTTCTCACCCGTGCAGCAGCTGCCCGGCGCTGCTCACAGCCCCACAGGACCCACCTTGGCCGCCCTCCTCTCGCCGGTGCAGTCGGGGTTCTGGCAGCGCAGCACCATCTCCTCCGCTGGGCACGGCTCGGCTGTGGGAAGAGAGCAGGGGTCAGTGCCGGGGTGCCATGGTGAGCCCCCCCTCCAGCACTGCTCCCGGTGCTGCCGGCGCAGGGGGGCTGCGCTGAGGCTCCTGCACCACCAAACCTGGGTTTGAGAGCCTGGCAAAGCACTCCGGCTCGGCTCTGGCCCGCTCCTGCCTGCCCCGCAGCCCATCCAGGGGGATGAAACCCCACGCCCGAGAGCCAGCACTGCATCCCTGCTGGGAGAAGGGGCTCTGCATCCCGCAGCGTCAGGAGCCGGCACCTCCTGCCCAGTCCCTTTGAGTCGCAGGATCAGGACACGGACCTGCCCCAGCTCCCCCGGGGATGGCACAGACCGGGGCTGCAGCAGGAACGCTGAATCTGCCACTTGCCGACCCCCAACAGGGCTGAGGAGCCACTTTAAGCATTGACAGTTAAATCAGCCTTAAGGACAAATCCTATTTTGAAGGCTTTTGTTATGTGTCGCATCTAATTGTTTAGAAATAACAGACTCTGGGCAGCTTGAACGAGCAGCATGGACACCCTGCTGCGGGGCGGGGATGCTCTGGTGGGAAGCTGCCCAGCTGGGCACGGAGCCCATGCAGGGGATGCGGTGAGGCCAGGCGGCACGGCCGCAACGGACAGCACCGGGGCTTCCCTGCCGCTCCCCTCTCCTGCATCCCTCCTGACAATAAAAACAGCATCCACGCCGGCCTGAGTGGGACCGCGGCCAAGGCTGGGGTTAGACTCAGCCTGGGGGAAAAACCGCCTTTCGGGGCAGCGCTGAAAAAGCTGCTGCTTCTGCCCGGAGAGGGGGGTCGATGCAGACGGGCGCCGGCTGCAGGCAGGGCTGCCCGCGCTGGCAGGGGAGCCGCGGCACGGCGGGCGCTGCTGGACGGAGCTGGGCTCGCTGAGCCCGGGCCAGGGCCGGGAGCCGGGGCTGCCCCCGCGGCAGGAGCACAATGAGGGCTCTGTCCCCGTGGCCGCCCCGCAGCTCCCGCCAGGCCAGGCCGGGCCCCCGTCCCCCGCCGCTGCTGTTTCACTTGACCTATCGGGAATAATAACGGAAACAAATAAGAAATTCTTTCACACACCCAAGGGAAAGTTTTCCAAGCTCACTGAAAAGTCAAGGCTGGACAGAGCGGCTGGCAGTGCCGGGGACCAGCCCAGCCAGAGCCCCATGGCTTTCCCAAACGCTGACCCTGGCAGCAGGTCACGCACACACCAGGGCCCGAGGCACACCGGGCGGGAGCTCCTCGGCAGGCACCATGCAGAGGGAGCCCCAGTTTTTGGAAATGGCAGGAGGGTGTCCAGGTCCCCACTAGGCACTTTGGGGGCCAGGGGAGGGATCCTGTCCTCACCAGCTCCTGTCTCTGGCCAGTCACCCCCTCCTGCTCATGCTGCCGCAGGCGGCGTTATCACACCCGGCTTTCCCGGTGATAGCAAACGAGTTTGCAACCAGACCGTCCTCGCACCGGCGTGCACCGCGGCAGCTCGCTGTTTCAGGTGCCGGTGGCGCGGGGCAGTTTGCTGGGCGCTCCCTAGCTGCACCTGCAGCATCCCTACGGCCTCACCGCAGCATCCCCGCTCCGGCCAGAGCTTTCCCCGGCCCCTCGCCCTCGTTGCCAGTGCTGGAGGTTTTTGGCCAAGCACCGCCGCCCGCAGCCCCCCAGCCACCTACCCCCGAGCTCCTCGCTGATGTCCAGGCTGGAGCTCCAGGAAAAGCGCTCCACCACCCCGTACTCCAGCCCCGCCAGCCCGGCAGGTAAAGCCTCCAGCTCGTAGGCACCCCGCTTCTTCCAGTACAGAAACATCCTGGGGTCGCGGCCGGGGGGGCCCCCGGGAGCCGTGCCCGCCCCGGTAGGACTAACTGGGGGAGCCCAGCTCCGGCTTTAAGAGCGGATCCCAGTCTCCGGACAAGCGGCGCATTCACGCCGGCAGCCGGGAGCTGCGGGGCGGCGGAGGGTGCTGCTGGAGGCTGCCCAGCACCCGCGCGGGGGGCACACAAAGGGCCTTTCTTCAGCCTCCTACAGACATTGCACAAATTTCACTTTCCGCCGTCTATGAAAGACATTCGGCCACGGAGACAAGACGCGCTTGTGATTAAAATAATCAGCATGAAGAGGGGGGCTGTTGGGCGATTCTGCCGTCGGACAGCTTTTGGAGGGGGCAGGAATGCGCCGCCCCGAGCCCCCGCCGCACCCCCGCACCCCCAGGCACGCCGAGGGCCCCCAGCCCGCCCAGGGAAAGCCAGGGGCCTCTAGGGGGTTTTCCCCCCTGATAAATCCGCGCAAATGGGAAAGCACCAGATAGGGCTTAAAATCTGCAAAGGATGGCGCCTTTGTCCTGCCCCACACAAAACTCTCCCTAAACAGGGGGAAAAACAAAATACCACACAGGGTGATCAGACGGGCTGAGACCACCCCAGCCCCAAAACTCATCGGCGTCAACAGCATCTTCTCCCGAAGGCACCACATGCTCCTTGCTTTTTTGCCGCTTCTGGGCGCCTTTTGCAAGAAAAGGTAGCCAGAAATTAAAAAAAAGAAATCATTGCTTCAAAGCTAACAGATGCTAACAGATTAAAAATAAATAATCCTGCTTTATTTAGCACAGCCCTAACGCTTTCAGCGCTAAGTAACCGATCTCCTACTGATCAGAGTATTGAGTGTCCCCACCCTCACCAGTGGGATGCTACGCGGAGGTTTACGCTCCAAAGGCCCCGGCCACCCCACTGCCGCCCTCCCCCCCCGGTGTGCGCCGGGAGCTGGCACCATCCCCCTGCCCAAGGCTGCAGCACCTGCCTCTGGGCCGCAGTGGGCACCGGCAGCTTGGTCCCCCGCGGAAAGGTCCGAAACCGGACACTTGGAACCTCGCGCAGGCACGCAGGGGTTACTCGCTCAACCCCCGGCTCCGAGGGGGGGTCCCTGCCCGGCCAGCGAGGGGTGTGACAGCACCGAGGGGGATGCCCAGCCCCGGGGGGGTTTGGTGCTGGGCGTTTCACCCATGCTGCTCGCCCAGTCTCACCTTTCCCAGCGCCTTTTCCACCAGCTCCCCCGCAACATGAACTCCTGCCTCGCCCTGCCCGGGATTTTCCCTCTGGCTGCACGACGGCCCCTGTATTTGTTTTAGCCACTGTTCAGGCCAGGTTGCCAGCCAAGTCCTCCCTGTACTGCCAGACCCAGCCAGATGGGGATAATTATGTCTGGATTAAGTTAAAGCTTTAACTCTAAAAGGGAGCAATGCTGCACAGCCCCGCACAGCTCTATCCCCTCCCCGCTCATCATCCCATTTCATTTGTTCGTTTACATGTACACGTTTCTGGAGTGCTAGGAAATCTCCCCGCAAACCAGATAAAAGCATTTTTTGCTGATTACTCACGCCCACAGCAGCCACCAGCCGAAAAGATCTGGCACCGAGCGGCATGCCACGTCTTTCCTTCCTCCGCAGGGGAGACCTGGCCCCCGGGGATCTGAAATGGCACCTGTCTGGGGGTGCTGCAGACCCTGGGGCAGGCTGCCCCCCTGCTCTGGGACACGGGCAGAGCCACGCCACGTTAGCACAAACCACTCTTGGAAGCCAGGTTGTTTTTGCAGTCGCAAGCTGTTTTCCCAAAAAGGCTAACTCAGCCCAAGATGCTCACTCACCTCTGCGTGAATCCCACCAACCTCATCGTCACTCAGACACAAATCATCGCCCCAGCAAAGAGCTGAAAGAAAAAAAGAAAACATCCCTCCAGTATCTCCCAGTGGGGCACAGCCCAGTCAGGGAAGACCAAGCTCCCTGGTGCTCCATGCAGCACGTGGGTAACAAGTTCCTCCCCACTCTCACCCCATTTTAGCCTCTACCAGTAGCACAAACTATTTGGACAGAGCTGGACGACACCTTCAAGCTACACCCAGAGCTCCTCCCAGACCCGCGCTCCAGGCGTTGAACTGGAACTGTAACAGTACGCGGCCAGCACCGGCAGCGAGGTGGAACCACGCAGCGTCCCCAGGTGCAGAGGGCTGCGCCGGGCTGTCACCAGCGCGGCTGCCTCCCTCCGGCGGCTGCATCTGCGGCCACCCAGCCAGCAGGATGGATTTTCTGTGCCGCTCCTGCCGCCGCCGTCCCCCCAACCAGTGGAACACCCAAGGACGCGGGTCAGGCGCAGCGCCGGGGTGAGAACCACCCGCAGCAGCGGCTCCCAAACCACGAGCGGCCCGGGGAGCCAGAGCTAACCAACGGCTAGGCTTCAAACGGAGAGCGGCGGCTGGTTCAGGGCACAGAGCGCGTCCCGATGGTAACCGCCCCCAGCCGGTACCAGTCGCGTCCAAACCGGCGAAGGCTGAGGGAAAAATTCAAACCCAACCCGTGTTTTTAATAGGTATTTATTACAAAACACCAAAATACAAACTGTAAATATAAAACATTATAAAAACTGGACATGCTGTAGTACCTACACCGGACACCTGCCCCGGGTCTCCCAGAGCTCTGTAGCACCCAGGGCCTCTCTGACCACACCTGGCTCTCGCCAGTCTCCACACAAAACAAATCCCACGGCCCAAGGTCCCCAAGGCTTTAGGTGTAATCACACTCGAACGCATACTCCCTCCTCTTGAAATGCTTCTTCTTTTTCAGCTTCCCAGACCCCAAGATGCTGTAGTTATAATCAGATGTGACATAGGGGATCTCTCCCTCAACTGTTTGCTAGAAAAGAGAAGAAACAAAGCCAGAGACAACTTTAAGAAACTGGATCTCCAACAGAACAGGAAGCACTTCACAGACCAACAGAGCTGACTGGCAGAAAGAAGCAAGCTATCACTGAACAAACCCCGCGCTGGTATCTGAAACATGAGAAGAACGTTCTCCTCTCCCTCGTTTCTATGCGTTAAGGACAATTTCCAAGAGAGATAACCATCTGCTAATGCCCAGACATCTCTGGGCATGCATAAGCCTCAGCAATAGGAAAACAGAAAACCTGCCAGCCAGCTTCCACCCTCTTCCTGTGCAGCTCCTACCTGGCCCACAAAAACACAGTTTGGGATCGCAATATTTCCAAGGAGCAGACAGTTCACTAGTCTCAGGCTTTCTGGAGGCACCGGCGTCAGAACATGGTAAAGCTTCTTCTCCATCTCAACCCCTCGGACAATTCCTGAAAAAAAAAATGTATGCAAACTACAATCTTAACTCCACCCGATCATTTTGCACAGTACAACCAGATGCAGCTGAAGCTCTTTGAGTAAATGGCTCTTCTAGAACCAATGGAAGCATTCGAGATACATCTTGAGAAACACCTGCATTGCTGTACCCCACTCCTCCAGCAACTCAGCGTACACACCAACAGCTAACTTCCCAAACCACATATCCTTGCTCACTAGCACAATTCCTACAGAAACTTGAAGAGCTCAGCATCAAACTCCAAGTCAGAACTGTAATATTAAATCAAGTCATAGCAGGAAACTGACAACTAAAGGAATTCTGCGTAAGCCACACAGAATCTGCGTTTGAGAATGTGAATCCAGGCACCAATTAAATTGTCAAGTTATGAAAAAGAGAAGCAAGCTACAAAAGGTGCTGCTCAGTGACACTCCCTATAGCTGTTATTACAAGTTAATTAAAGTCGAAGGACTTGAAGTACAGCTTGTAACAGAAAAGAATACATGATTATTCTTCTCTTATCTCATCCCACTTTTTCAGTTGTTTCTGAAAGGGAAGGCAATTCCGTCCCTCTGTAACCTATCTGTCAAAACAGGACAGGTGAGAAGGCAGCTCAATGTTTCCCCAGCTCGCTCACCGAAGCCAAGGCAATCACAGACTGGTGTCTGTGTCAGCAGGACTGGCCCATCGGTTTGGCATCTGATTTCATCTGGTATCCTGCAGAGCCCAACCCAGCTGGCGTTCACCGCATACATGATGTTGGTTGGAGCAACATCGGTGTGAATAACCCTGAGTGCAATAGCACTGAAAGGTACCTGAGGGGGTAAAAAGAGAAAACTGTCCATCAGCTCAACATCAGTCTAGTTGGAGTTCAGAGATAATGCTAATTACACAAAACCGGAAAGCTCCCAACCCACACCTACAGACAGGCATTATCTCAGTGGCAAACGTAACAGTTTCCACATTAACAACTGCACACACAGAAAACACGTGCCACACTGACATCTTACCAAAAACCTCACTTCTAGATATGCTAAATAAAGTCGTTATCTTTTTTCAGATTACAGAGCGTTTTTCCCCTGTTCCAAAAAACAAATGCAAGTACAAGCAGAACTGCTGATTACTACAAGCTGGGCTCTCTGCAACATCTCCAAGCCCTTCAAAAACGCTCATTTACCTGATATGGCACAAGACTGTGCAGAGGAAGCACCGCCCCTACATCTGGGGATTGCAGCTGACCCAGGTAACCCAGTATGGACATGTCACGCAGGATGCCGCTATGTACTCGCCTGGAAAAATAACCGCAGTAAGTCAAGGAAAGGCAGCACACCCTGACACAGCAACTCCAACCAGATACCCCAGGCAGTCCTGAGTATGCCATGCAGCATTAGCTGCTATTTCACACGAGTTTAGTTTTTAAAACTTCTACCACTGAAGAAAATTAAGAGCGATGTTTTTATTACCTCTAAGGCATCAGAGGATTTAGGGCATTGTTTCAACTTTCAAAAGGCCTTAATTAAAAGGGGTGATGTTTGGGTTTTTTTTGTTTAACGAAGTCTGTTATTAGATAATGGTTCCCTTCTCCAACCCTGATGTCTGCACACTCTGTCTCGAGACTGACTGACTGAAAGGTAAGACATTTGTTTTCTTAAACAGCTCATCAGCAAAGGCTGAGTGTAAAAAAAAAAAAAAAAAAAAAGCACTTAAAATTGGCAAGGAAGACTCAAGGTCCAGTAAAATACACATTTCAGAGATGCTCAGAGTACGAGAGAAATGAATGTGATCATCATCTAGGTCTGCAAGAACGAATA